CTTCAAACTTGACAGCTTTAAGACTTGTGGACTTCAACTCCCAAAATTCCTCCTCCAGTCATGTTGCTCTTTCGCCTCAGCGCCACTCTGGCTACCACCGTCCATACCTGGCAGCTGCGGTGATGTCATCAGCCTGGATCTGCTCTATCTTCAGTTTTTTCACCAGGGGCAGGGCCGCTGCTGAAGATGCCGATGAGCCCCCGCCGTCACCAGAATAACTGCTTCCGCCTCCTCCTCCTCCTCCTCCAACAGCACCACCGCATTTGCCACATGGTGTTGCAGCTGAGGTGAAGCTGCCAAAGCTCCTGCTGGCGCCCCTGCCCATGGCAGTGGTGGTGCCTCCCCCTCCACTCAGAGCACCTGAGCTGGGCACTGCGTTACCCCAGCCGCCTCTGCCGTGCTTTTGAGAAGCCATGAGGCCTTTTTTTTCCTGCTCCTGCCCCCTCTGCCGCCTTCCTACTTGCTCCTGCAATGGCACCACCATCAGGTTTCTCATCACCACCTCACCTTTGCCAGTGCTCCGGCGTCCTTTTCCCCTCTGGTGGTCGGTCTGCACCTGCTGTCCAGCTCCTGCCCCGCAGGAAAGAAAGGCATCATAGCTCCTCAAAAGCATGGAGGAGGAGGAGGGGGCAGGGGTAACACGGGGCCCAGCTCAGGTGCTCTGAGCGGAGGGGGAAGTGCCACTGCCATGGGCAGGGGCGCCGGCAGGAGCTTTGACGGCTTCACCTCAGCCGCAGTGCCGGGCGGCAAATCTGGCAGTGCTGTTGGAGGAGGAGGAGGCAGCAGCAGTTATTCCGGTGGCGGCGGGGGCTTTGGGGCTTCACTTCAGCTGCAGCACCGGGTACAAGTGGCTAGGACGGCCATCCACCAAGGACCACCCCGGGCTTGCTTTGCTGAACACAGGGCGACTGATGATAGTTTGAGCCTGCGCAGCTGGCGCAAACCATGATCAGTTACCCTGTGCTCATCAAAACAAGTCTGGGGAGGTCCATTGTGGGTGGCCAGTTCTAGCCTGCAATGGACTTCCCCGCTCTTGCTTTGCTGAACATAGGGCGACTGACGGTAGTTTGAGCAGTGCAGCCGGCGCCTAGGAGGTCCTAGGAGACTGGCCGTGCCACGTAAGCTCCTGCTACCGTCCCCACCGTGCTAACCCTAACCAGGACAGAAAATTTGAGGCCCCTCAGCTTCCGGAGCCTGTGACATTAGAAATCACTGCGCGGCAGTTGGAAACTGCCGCGCTGTGTTTTCTTGCCACGTGCATGGCCGTGCAGCCGCACACCTTAGAAGGGACCTTGAGGGTTGCCAGCCCAAGACAGCCTGAACTTTAGCTGGGTCCATCTCTATTCCCTCATTGTACACTCGGTAACCGAGGTAGTCTAGCCGTGCACAGTGAAATTCACATTTTGATAGCTTGACGTACAGGTTGGCTGCCAGACATTTTTCCAGTACCTGTTGGACCAGGGGTATGCGGTTGTTCATGGTCTTTGGGTAGATGAGGATGTCACCCAGGTAGACGAGGACCTCCTTGTTAGAAGGGGCTCATGCAACACCTCTTTTATTAACTGCATGAACACTGCTGGGGCTCCCTGAAAGGCATCACTTTGAATTGGAAGCTCCCTAGGGGCAGTTGAACATTGTTTTCCATTCATCTCCTTCCCTAGTCCATACTCGGTAGTATGCTTCTCTGAAGTCTAGTTTGATGAAGACTTTTCCCTTGGTCAGGTGAGATAGCATGTCCTTCATGAGGGAGAGGGGTATAGGTTGTGTATGCACATGGCATTGATTCCTCTAATAGTCTCATAGTTCCATCTTTTTGTTCTTTGAAGAGGAATGGTGCTGTGACCCGTGGCTTGGCTGCCTCAATGAACCAATACATCTATGTATTTGCACATTTCTTGCATTTCCTAGGGTGTCATGGTGTACAATTTGGGCTTGGGTAGTTTTGCCCCAGGGATGATTTCGATGGTGCAGTCTGCCTCATGGTGGTGGTGGTGGGGCAGAATGTTGTACTCGGTCTTGCTGAATACTTCTGTGAGGTCGTGATATTCCCCTGGAATCTATTCGGTCTCTGGGGTTTTGTTCTGGTGGGTTCTTTTGGGGGGGGGGTTCCCTGCTTGTCTGCTTGCTGGTGTGGGAGGGGTTTGGGCCCCCTTTTCTATCCTAAGTCTGCAGGTACCTCCTTGCCATCAGATGGTCAGTCCCCACCTGTCTAGCCAGGAGAGTCTCAGTATGACTGCATCTGTAATTTTGGGGGCTATAACAACTTGAATTACTTCCCAGTGATCTGCTAGCTCTAGTCTCACTGGTTCAGTCAGGTGGGTGGCCTGACCCGTTGACCTGTTCGGACTGGATTGGGTGGGCCAGTCTTTTTGCTCTGAACCCCAGTTTCAAGTTGATCAATCATCTAGTGCAGCCTATTAAGGCTTGAAAATCCTCCTGGCTTCCTGTTTTTGGCATATTGGAAAAATGAAAGGATTAACTGGTCATATCACCATTGGATTGTTTTCGCCCTCGTCAAAACTATCATAGGATTCTGGCAACTGGTCATTGTTGCCTGCGGTCCCCCCCTTTTTGTCTGGGTGGGGAGGGACCTCTGCAGCCTGGAGGTCCTTCCGATATGCATTGGTATGTTGTTTGTGGCCCCGTTCCAGTCATGACCTGTGTGGTGGCTCTAGTCTTGGCATTGGGATTGAAGTCATGGATGTACAGTAGATGCCATGTCCCCCCCCCCCTGCATCTGTAGAATTTCAGTGGACTTTGAGAGGAGCTGGTTTCAGGACCCAGTGTATTGCTGTGGGTCGCTGTCAGCCGGGCAGGCTCAGGTCGGGTTGACCTCTCTCTTTTCTGTCCAGTGGTTTTCTCATGTCGTTAGCGCCGTAGACTTTTATTGCTACTTAGAACCACTCAGAAAGTCGGTTTGGATGTCGTGATAATCAGTTACCTGGGCAATCTGCTTGTCCAGGCTTGTTCCTTTTTTTTTGAAAAGATTTTTTTTTATTTTTGGTTAAGCAGACAAACACAACACACACAAAAAATCATCTTTCATTACATATTGTAGAAGTGTGTCGATTGCTTACAAATAACTTTTGTGCATCTCTTCCACAGTCATTACTTATAGTTCATATCACATTGTATATTTTAAATCAAAAATCTTTATATATCTTACTATCAATATCCCAAAATTCTCATTTNAACAACAAACAAACAAAACTGCAGAAGCTGCAGCCACACTCAACTGCTTGCTTCAATTGCAGTCAGGAGGGGCATCAGGTGGCAGAGTGCAAGACCAGGAGACTGGTCATCTCCAGTCCCCCTAGGAATGCCACTAAACTGTCTTAGTGGATCCGAGAAACAACGTTGAAGGGGGTAGAGGTCATCAAGTTCTCCCCATCTCCCAAAATTAGCAAAGAAACTCCGATCCCGCCAACCAATGGCCAGGGACTGAGCAACAATGACCACTTGGTAAGTGGCCCAATTATGCCAGTAACGGTCCCCATAGAATCCCCATAGAGTTAATTATCCAATTGGCAGGCCAATTGGAAAGCCAATCTATCAGCCCTCAGACTACACTAGTTGCCTGGTTAACCCAGCCCTAGTAGAAATGTTGAGAAAACGATCAAAACAGTTGAAGGCCCAGTGGAGTTCTGCTAGCTAGATGGATCTATGGCAAGCTGTCTAAGCTTCTTTTCCGCCTCTTTCTCCCCAATGTTTTCTTTTGTATACTTTTGTATTTTGTATCTTATTTTATCTTATAACCCAATACAAATGTTAAACTATATATAAAAAAAAGTTTAAACGCTTGTTTGCACCCAAACCTGTCCTAAAATACCCAGATCTGACCGTCCCATTTGTCATCTAGGCAGATGCTAGTGATGTGGCAGTGGGAGCTGTACTCTTACAGCGGAACCAGCAAGGGAATTTGCAGCTGTGCACCTACACCTCTCTAGATAACTGTCAGAGATGGAGTGTAGATGGGCAGTTTGGGAGGAGGAAGATTACACTGTGGGCTGGGAGTTCTTAACATGGAGGCACTTCCTTGAAGGGAACAAGGTGCCGTTTGAGGTATGGACCGAATATTCTCTTATTCATTTCCCAAACAGCAAAATCTGGAAGACTGGTTTCTCTTGCCTTATTTGTTAAAATTTAAGTGGCTATGAATATCAAAAATACCTCTTTTGGCCAAAAATACAACAAATAGTTGTATCCAGTAGTGATATTTCCTATTTTTTCTCTGGCACTTCCTAAATGAAGCATTTGGGACCCATAATGTTTCTCACAGTATGGGAGAACTGAAGCAGTAGAAAACAGGATGAAAGAAGAAATGCTAAACGGAAAAAAGTAAAGTGGGAATAAACCCACAGAATCTGTCAGGTTCTGAAAAAAAATGCCAATTTACTCCTAGTATGATGAAGGAAAATGAACTAAGGGAAAAACTGGAATTGGATCTATTTAGGAACTACTTTCCAAAGAGAGCTCTCACCACAATGATTTGCTTTGGAACTGTGATTTGGTGCAAAATTCTTGTAATTTCAAAGAGACCATAATGAAGAAATATATCTACATCATGATATATTTAAAAATAAACTGTCAATTAATGAGAAAACATAAATTGCATTTTTACTTCTACCTCATTTCCTAGCAAAGCAGAAACACATGCTTCAGATGCATCACAAATGGCTGTTAGGTCATGACCTCCTTCAAGAGCCAGAATGATTCGTCCTCCAGCCAGCCCCATAAGCTCTTTGGTGAGATACCCAAAGCCTGAGAAAAAGGAAAAAAGAATAAGCTGCAGAACAGGAATGGGTTCTGGCAGCTTTACTGCCGGTTCGCTTGTGAGCGTATTTCAATTAAAACTGTTCTGCAAATGCAGAGAACTTAAAAACAAGATGGTGGTGCCAATGGTACCAACTGGAGAACCAGTTCGGGGGTGTGGCACATCTGGGTTGCTGCTGGTTCCAGCGACCCATACCACCATACCACTACCGGTTCAGCCGAATCAGTCCGAACCGGTAGGAACCCACCTTTGGTGCAGAATAAGAATAACCACAAAAAATAATTCATCTGAAAAATCAGAAATATTTCAAATCATTGTCTCCATTTTCAAACCTATTCCCATGATGATAATATACATAGTCTGCTTCAAATTGACTAGAATTAATTTGAACTTTAATGCAGATGTAATCAATTCATTTTTTGAGTCTATATGAAAATCAGAGTGCTCCCATATATTAAAAAACATTTTTAAAAAAGATGTGCTTTGTTTACAGCCCAGAATTTTTAGACTTGGATATATAAAGGAAATATATCACAAAATGAATGCACTAAAATAATGCATATTTGGAAATATTATAATACTGAAATTCTGTAAGTATGTAGCCTGAGATATTTAATAAATTTGTGGCATGCACGATAAAATAAACTTTTATTAGTTAATCCAATGTGCCAATCCTGTCCTATCTCTGACTCTTTAATCTGTGGATAGGAAAAACTTCCCACAGAAATCACATTTTTCTCCCCCCACAGAGTGGTCTGGTGATTCATTGTTTTCAATGTGTATTTCTCCACTGTATGTCTACTTATTCTCTTATAATCCCTCCCTCTCCAAGAATGTAAATACAAACTTTTAAAGAATTATCCTAGAGCTGAGGTGAGCATTCCAAAGAGTGGGGGAGTGGGGAAATGTCACAGTCACAGCCCCAGTTACCAACCACTTCACTTAACAAAAGAGCTGGTGGTCCCAATTATGATTGCAAAATAAGTACTAACAGAGTACCATTTCTGATACCACTCAAATTCCATAAAGAGTGAGATGAGAACAGTGATTGCTAAATTTGAAGCTGAAAGGTCCTAATTGTAAATACAGAAACAAATGTATGTGAAATTTAACAACCTTAAATAACTTACATTTTGCCGATAGATTATATCCCCCAAGAGGTGCAGGATGACCTTCTACTGCATCAAACCCTGATGACACCAGTACAACATCTGGAGCAAATTCATGAGCAATAGGCATTACTATTGTTCTGCATCATGAATAGCCAATCCCCAAAAGAAAAAAAAAGGCAGAAAACAGATTACTATACCTCACCAAGATTCTGAACTTTTTGGTTTTCTTCTTCACTGGCATTTTTAACATAAATAAAAAATAAAGAAAGAATGAGAAAAGAACTAAAGAAGATGCTAAAGCTACAAACGAACACTGTAGCTTATACTGTAAAGCAGAAGTTCTGAGGTTTACCATTTTCCTTCATAATTATAGAAAAAATGTACATTGATCTACAAATTTATGAACAGTTGCACAGAAAACAATGAATTATTCATTGTACATGTGAAATTCTATGGATCATATATAACGCTAACCAGATACAACTACATTTGCTTAGTCCTGACTGAAATGATTGGCACTTAAGAAATTAAACTGTACAGCTGAGTGTCAATCATTTCATAATATTAATATTAAGTTTAAAATGCATGCTTCATCTGCATATATCTAATTAGGATGCATGGTTAATAAATGAAATTGTGCACTGAGAGTACAGAGCTGAAAGGATTAATGGTGAATTCAAGGATATGGAGCACTGTTGTCAGTTCTGTGATGCACAAAGTACACAGTACTCTATAGTTCCTGTTGGTTGCATTTAGTATTGTTTTGGAAGTACTCTGGCTGCAACCAACTACAGTAAAAAAAACTCTCCTCGGCTTTGTGGTGGATTTTTATTCTTAATATTACACTATTAGTATTAGTATTACACTATTTTGGACAAAAAATATTTAGGAATAGTTGTCTAGCTTAATTCAAATGTTTTGCTTTGGAATATAATAAATGTTGTGAGAAAGAGAACAAATATACTAGTTTTTATTCCTCACTGTGTGATTAAAGTGCAGTTCGAGTCTCAGTGGCTCAAGGTTGACTCAGCCTTCCATCCTTTTGAGGTCAGTAAAGTGAGAACTCAAAATGAGAACTCAAATTGTTGGGGGCAATATGCTGACTCTGTAAACCTCTTAGAGAGCACTATGAAGTGGTATTGCTATTGCACCTTGTTTCCTGTGTTCAATCAAATAAATACATTTCTATAATGGAGAGACCTCTAATCAATGTACATTTGAACCTTTACTTATGATTGGTAGTTTAATAACTGTTCAAAGTTACATTGTGTTATCTTCCAGCTCTTGTAAAATGTAATGCTACCCCCCCCCCCAGTCATATGATCATGATTTGGGTTCTTGGCATGCAATTATCATTTGCAATCTCCTTTGCTGGTTTCCCCAGAAAATCAATGTAGATAGTTTGCAAGCCACCTGCTGAGAGGACTCCCTTTTGTCTACAAGGGCTGACTACAGAGGGGTGCTGAAAATCCAAGTTCCTTTCCTGCAGCTTTGTGCACAGGGGGAGGTGAACTTGGCAGGCAGCTCTTTCACTCTGTTTCTTTAACTATCTCCCAGAGATTATTGGGGGTGCTGGGATTGTGCTTATTGAGTGAAGATATCAAGTGATTGCCTTGTTTAGTGATAGCTTTGTTCAGTGTCTGAGATTCCAATCTACTTGTAGTTGTAAGTTGAGGACTACCTATATGTGTCCCATAACGTTTAGAATTGAGGAGATATAGAGGATATATGCACAATAGTCGGACATTTTTGAAATGAGGGATTTTGAACTCTTAACATAAAACAAACTGCCTATCTCATTATATTAAGGGTAGGATTTTGGGAAAATAAGTCTCTGTGTGAAAAACATCTGTATTGTGTTATCTATCTGACTCATGCAGCTTTTTATTTAGAATTACTGCTAATTTTTTTAAAAATTTTAAATTATGGCATATTTTAGGCCTGTGTTTTTTAAAAGTGTGATCCCAAAACTCCTGGAGGGTGCCTCAGGGAATTCTCAAGAGAACTTGACATTTTCCCTTGGAATTTATCTAAAATGGATTTTAGGATAATTTTACAGTTGTTCCAGCAATTATTTTCCTTAATCTAATTCTATAAATAAAGGCTGTGCCAGTGCCTTGACTTTATTAAAATGAGACTTACTCATCAAAAATTAGAAACGAAAATGCCATATAAGAAATATAAGTTGAAAAGAACCACTATTAACATAAATAGCATGAAAAATATCACATGAGAAATATATCATAAACAAAAAAGTTATACAGAGTTAAATTTCATACATTAAAACTTGCATTGCCTTTATGTAACATATTTCTTTTTTTAATAAGCATAAAGCTTATGCTTAGCATGTGTACAAATTTGAATATTGTGGTTTGTTAACATACAGATATTCCTAATGACCCACCAAGCTAAGAAAAATTTGAAAATTAAGAATTACCTGAAAGCAGTCAAGTATTCTGGGTCTCCTATTGGTGGATTAAGACCACCAGTAAATGCTATATTTACGTTAAAACCAACACCCAATCCTATGCCAACCTAAGAAATAGAAAATGAAGAGAAAGAATGAAACAGGTTATGTATTTAGGAAATATCTATAAGATTATTTCTTTAATAGCACTTCAAATCATTTAATAGCTCTTATACAATATAATATGAGAAAATACAAACCAATGGAGAAACTTTGAATGCTCCTCCTTCACTATTATGATAGTGTGATTGGAATGTAAAGGTATAAACAATCTTAACTTTTAAATACATTCATGGCACTATCTGTTGTGTAAGCCTGCTGAGTTCCTAGTTACTGCCTTGAATTGGGCTTTGAACAGGATTGCTCCTTGCAATCCTACTCAAATCTCCACCAAGAGATCCACACCTTCCAACCAGGAAATACCCTACCTTCCCTACTCGTTTGCAAATCTGAGAGTGCAAGACAAGACTGTTGCAGCATCCCCATGGTCACGTGATCAAAATTCAGATGCTTGGCAACTAGTTCATATTTATGATAGTTGCAGCATCCTGAGGTAATATGATCACCTTTTATACCTTCTGACAAGCAAGAATGGTGAAACAGATTCACTTAACAACCATGTTACTAGTTACAGTGATTCACTTAACAACTGTGACAAGCAAGGTCATTAAATATATACTTTATTTGTCATTGTACATTTACACAACTGTACATTTACACAAATGGAACAAAACTCACTTAACAAATGGCTTGCTTTGCAAGAAAACTTTTGGGCTCAATTGTGGTCGTAAATTGAACACTATCTATTTCGTCCAGTATATCATTTTTCTTTCTTTGTGGTATTTTTCTTTTTTTCTTTATTATCTTGTTTTTCCATCTTGAACTCTTTTTTCCTCTAGGATTTCCATTCATTGAATCTTTCCTAATCTCTTAGTTTGATGAAGTCAGCTCCTCTAAAGTCTAGAACACCAGTCTAACTTTCTTTAGTTACCTGTGCCTGCATGTCATAGTCACTCTCCCCCAAATTCCTACAATTTCCACTTCCTCAGCCATTTCATCCCTATTATTAAATTCAGTGTAGCTGACCTTCTAGTTCAGGGGTCCCCAACCCCTGGGCTGTGGCCCATGACTTCTCTCTCACAATGCATGGATGCTGTTAAGCCTGAGATGAAAGAATGGCTCTTTGGTCCATGAAGAATTGCCAACTTTATCTTGAATGAAGTTGCTCTGCCACAGATGGACACAGTGCATAAGCTAAGGTTCTCCTAGATTTGCTCAAGGTGTAAATTGCAGTCATGACCAGAAGGGCCACAGCACAACTGTGGATTGTGTGTCAATTATGTCTTTTCCTGGACCAAAAACAGTGGTGAAGTTCATTTTCCGGTAGGTTCTGTGGGTGTGGCTTGGTGGGCAAGGCATGGACTGCAAAATCCCCATTCCCTCCCCACTTCTGGGGGAAGGACATTGCAAAATCTCCATTCCCACCCCATTCTGGGGGCCAGCCAGGGGAGATATTTGCCAGTTCTCCGAACTACTCAAAATTTCCACTACCGGTTCTCCAGAACATGTCAGAACCTGCTGAAGTTCACTCCTGACCAACATGCCCTGTTCACAGTCACCCATGCCCTAGTCATCTCCTGTTTTGACTATTGCAATGTGCTCTACATGGGACTGTACCTGAAAAGTATTCAAAAAGTTCAGTTTATAAACTTTTCCCCCAGTTTCTTGCTAGGGAGTTTTAACCTCAAATATTTTGTGGAGAGGTCAACCTTCACTCCCACCCAGAATGGCCATTGCAGAGCTCGGTGCTCGGTGTTTATCTGCCTGTTTCTTATAGGTTTGTGTCCCTTTAGTCTGTGCTTTTTTGACATTCTCCCAGGTTGTTTTTAGCATTGACATCCAGTCAGTCAAGATGACTGAGGAGAGGGGGGGAGGGTCCCTTGGATACTCAGGCATTGGGATGAAGTCAATGCTACTCACTACTTTGAATGGTGTTAGTTCTGTGCCACTGTAAACGGGATTATTGTACATGACTTCAGCAAAAGACAGAAGGTCTGCCCAAATGGACTGCTGATAGTTCACGTAGTACCTCAGGTACATGTTGTTCAGTCTCTCTGCCCCCACCCCCATTGGTGCTTGGGTGAAAATCCGAGCTAAGGCCCTGGGATGACCCAATGGAACGCAGGAACTCCCTCCAGAACTTAGCCATGAACTGGACCCTCAGTCTGAGATAATTCTTCGAGGTACTCCATGCAGGCAGTAGATGTGCTTCAGGAACAGTTTGGCCAGCTGGTGAGCTGAGGGTAGTTCGCTGCAGGGTATGAAGTGGGCCTGTTTGGAGAACAGGTCTATTACAGTCCAAATCACTCTGTTTCCCCCACTTTTTGGCAACTCTACTATAAAGTTCATTGCGATATCCTCCCATGGCCTGGTTGGCTCTGCTATTGGTTGCAGCAGTCCGAGGAGTTTTCTCGGTTGTCTCTTCATTGTGGCGCAGATGGTGTAACTTTTCAGGTAACTGTCCACGTCTTTCTTTATGCCGGGGCCACCAGATCTGCCTCCAGGCTAAGTGTAAAGTCTTTAGGAACCCAAAGTGGCCTCCCGGTTTGGCATCATGGCTCCTCTGGAGAATTAGGGTGTGTAGGGATTTTGGGACGTAGAGTTCCATCCCCTTCCATATGAGGTCATCTCTTTTTGTCAAAATGTGTTGGTTGTTTCAGAACCAGCAGTCTGCTAGGAGTTCGGTTTTGAGTTTCGTGGTTATTGGTTGGTCTTGCTAGTCATGGCTTTGTCATCTGATGGTCACTTGGTCAGCTATTTGAATAGAGGGAATGATGGCATCCAGCACCTACTCCCGTTCACATTTGCATTGGGGCATGCAGGAGAGGACGTCAGCTAAAAGGTTCCTCCCCCCTGGAATGTGCTTTAATACGAAGTCGAAATGATTAAAGTATTGAGCCCATCAGCTTGTTTGGATAGTTTCCATGGGGCCCTGAGAGCCTCCAGATTTTTGTGGTAAGTCCAGACTTTGAATGGTTTCTGGCCCCCTTCCAACAAGCGTCGCCAGGTTAGCAGTGCCCATCTCACCACGAAAGCCTCATTTTCCCATTCGGCCCATTGTCTCTCTGTGTCAGTGAGATTGCGGGAGGTGTAGGGCATGGTTGTAAGTTTCCTTGGTTGTTTCTTTGGAGTAGCACTGCTCCCACTGCCATATCGCTGGCGTCTGCTTGGATCATGAAGGGTTGTTCGGGGTCAGGATGCTTCAGCACCAGTTTCTTTGCAAACATTTCTTTCAGTGTTTTAAATGCCTTTTGGCAGGTTAGGTCCCACTGTAGAGGTTGTCCCTGGCAAGGTTTTGTTCTTGGGCTCCCTGTCTTTAGGAGGTCTATTATGGGTTTGGCAATCTTCATGAAGGAGGGGATGAATTGTCTATTGAAGTTTGCAAACCCTAGGAAGCTTTGTAGCTGTTTGCAGGTGCAAGGGGGTTGCCAATGTTCCCTCTAAATTTTTTTCAGTGTGAGGAGAAAAGTATAGTGTTTGAGCGGCACATTTTCATGCCTGAGCACCTGAATTTTTTTCACA